CTATATTCGTCCTACTGCTGGATACAGTCCTCTCCTCATTTCTGAGAGGGTTTAGGACAAGGAAATGCCACGCTGACCTATTGTGTGATGCAGTTTTCCTCATGATGTTTTCCTCTTCCGCCGAGCACGTGGTAAATTAGCACTTAAAATTGCAATTAACAATTTCATTGGTGCCCGCGGGATTCGAACCCGGTTTGCTCGGGACTGTGAGATCTACAGCGGGCGCTAACCATCTGAGCTACTACGGCTCAATGTCAAATGATTTCTTATATTTTCGCGAATACTAAGTACCCATTGAATAAGACTAATTTTACGAACTTTATCGCGTTGAGGAATCTTTAATTTATGTGAAGCTAATTTCAAAATTTAAGATTCAATATTTTTTTATAGAAGAGGGGGCAAACGAGCATGCGGCTCACCTGATGTTAAGTGACTACCACCGCCCATGATCAACCGCAACACCAGGGAAATTGCAGGTGCGTTGCCGGCCTTTTAGAGAGGAGTAAGCTCTTTTCTTGAAGGTCAGGCCCAGGTCGTATCGGTCATGAAAAATCGCCGGTGGTAGAAAGTGGTAAAAACTATTCCACAGAGAGGCGTTCGCGGAAGAAAACTCCTTGTGAAACTTACAGTGGTGGACCGCCAAGCATCCAGGTGGTGAGGATGGTATCGGGACGTTTGCCGCGTAGTGTGTTCAAGAAATTTGGCGGCTGGGATTAATCCCAACAATTCCTCAGAGCACTCCCCATGGTACATGCGAAAGAAAATGCAAAGAGATGCAACATCTCTTCGCTACGCCAATGAATCAAGCCGATCGGAAAGCACTCGGTCGTTGACGATTCGAGTCGCTCTGCGCTGGATGCGGTCAAGTGGAAGGAGCTGGTACTGGGGAGCCCCAGTCCAGAGATGGAAACAGTATTCCATGTGCGGCCGAACCTGCGTCTTGTAAAGTTGCAGGCGGTGTGCCGGCATGAAATACTGTCCCGCTCTGCTGAGCACGCCAGGCTTTTTAGAGGCCAATTTGGCCTTCCCTTCCAAATGACCACGAAACTGCACGTCACTCGATATGTCGACGCCGAGGATACCGATACTGGCTGAGGCAACAAGGGGAGTATCTTGAAACTGATAATAGAGGTAAATCCTCTATTATCAGTTTCAAGATACTCCCCTTGTTAAAATAAAGGAGGTTAGCCTGATAAAAAAGAAAAAATATCATAGACAATAAAATCAGTAATTTACTTAAGATTACATCCTGTCAACTTCAGATATACCACTACTTTCCACAGGTCTTCACTTATTTCTAAAAGAGCTACAGAGTGTTTAGTACGCCACGTAAAATTGTAGTGAATATTTAATTATCTGTGATCTAGCATTTAATAATAAAATAAAAAGCATATTATAGCATTCTTAAGCTTTAATTACCCACAAAATATAACCTATAAATTATGCTCTATGACCTCATAATAACGACCATTAAGTAACGTCTCAAGTTATTAACACTTTTTAAAGTCTTCTTGTCCAATTTAGTTTAATTTACTGGCTATAAAAAAAGGTTTATTTTGTATATTTTAAGCGAATGTTGTCAGAAGCGAATACTTTTGGAAGTTTTCGTACCTACAACAACTTTTACGTTAAAGCAAAATTAAGAAATTGAAAACCTTTTTGGCTAGACTGGAAAGAAAACGTTATCACTAAGCGGTAAGATCTCTTTTCTGCCTCGGAGTAAGTCTGGACAGGTAATCCTCTTTTGCCCATTTCTACTGCGAAGTAGAAATGAATGCATTGGTGAATAGAGAGTCAGTATAAATAAATAAATAATTTTTAAGACAACAATTAAACAAAGTAACAATAAGTCTTATAAAAATAACATGGAATAATAAAAAATAAAATTATGTGTAGCTTAATTATATAATCTGTAAGAGAAAAATCGAAAAGTCAAGTTTATAATATTAGCTACCTACCTGAACTCGGTTGAGTACCTGTGTTTCAGACCATCACTTACACTATGTGGTTAATAATTTAATTAATTTTAATTTTTTTAAAGAATATTAACAAACACTCGTGGTAAGCTTAAATTGCTTGTGTTACGAGTGGTTCACGCCAGTAGTCGAATGGCGGATTCGAACCCACGACCTTTTTGAGTTCGCGGTCCGCGCCCTGCCATTAGGCTACTGTCGCTTATAATTTAGGACACTAGATAATTTTAATAATTAAATTATATTACGTAGTAAATAACATAACTAAGTAACAATTATTTGTTACTTGCAATTAATACAAAACTATTTGGAAATTTGTAACAACTTCTCTGTCTTCGTAATTTACTTTATTCATAAATTCCCTTACAATCATTTTACATTTCTTATAACTTACACAGTTTAATAACAGGCTATAAGATATTCCATCCTTTATTTCATTAAATATTAGTTATTTCTAGGCTGTACTAGGTACTTACCATCAAGTGGCCTTTAAAATTGTTTTTGATTTATGAAAAATCAACATCAACAGCAAAAAAAAACATCAGAACGAAAGAACGAAGAAATTTGGTGACTAGTTCCGTGGACGAAATACAAGTGCCGTAGCCTAGCCCTAGTGTGGTAAAATACATGTATAGACATTTCGACAACCTCTCATCTCGGGACGGCATCAGAGGCAGATGAACTGAGTTAGTGGCATGAGCACGAGTCCCTACGAGATGACTAGATATTTGTGCTATTTGTTGTAGAAGATATTTACGTGGTAGAGCCACGCTGCAGCTATATTAGTCGTAGCACGAATAGGTTGGCTCAACCGGGATAGGACCACGCTCTCATAGAACACTAGCGTAAAATAGCTTAACGCTGCTGTGTTTCGTGTGGTGAGTGTATTACTGGAAACGAGGCATTCCATCTGAGTCCTCGGGGGTGACGACATATCTGCGTTTTGGTTGTTGAACGAGGATAGATGTGGATGTTTATGGGCCACAGCTTCCACTTACCATTAGGTGGACTGTGTGCTCGTTTGTCACCCTTATTCTCTAAAAAAGAGGAAACTATCGAATTTCTAAAAAAAAAATATAAGTTGTGTGGTTAAATTTAATTAGGAATTATAAAATGGTTTATAAAGTTTTTAATAACTGGTTTATAAAATGTGCAATGTTCGAGTCGGATCTCGTGCTATTATATGAAAAAAAGAATAATTATTAATATGGAATACTTAACCTGCCGGTACTCGCGTCTCATTTTGTGACATAAGCGGTCGCGTGAGGGTCTAAAAGACCCCAAAGTTAAATGCATTATTCCATGCCAATAAAGGGAATTATATTTTTTTTATATAAACGTAAAAGAAAAGGGTAACTAAAACAACAATGAGACACAAATATTTATATATTTTGATTTTTTATTTTTTATTTTTATCACAATAGCAAAGAGTTAAGTGCTAAATCTTACTTTTTTATGCATGGGAACCAGAATCACAGTCTAACTTTTTTATTCTAGTATAACTGAAAAAAAAAACATTATTCTTACAAAAACTAATAAATTTTTTCCTAAAACAATCAATAAAATAAAACATTTAACATAACAAGTTTTTTATAATCAGCTTTCAAACATCTCATAAAAATCTTTCTCAAAATATTTCTTATTTGTTTTCTAATTAGTCTTCTTGCAGTCTTATCTTACTTTTGACTCATTTTCTGTTTACAATTAATACATAAAAATGCGGTTTGATCTCTACATATGAAATATTTACATATTTGGCATTGAGTTTTGGATTTTCTATCCTTTTTAGGGGGGCAGGTGGAACACCTCCCACGAATGTTACTAGGCCCAGCCGATGCCGTTTGATCTGTACTTTCTTCTCTGCCAAGTACTTGAAACATTCTGCTCCGAATGTGTCTGGGCAGAGTCGTAATAGAAGACCTCTTTTCTATTTGTGGTTTAACAAGGGATAAAGCTATGTCTTTTAAAAAGTTACGTCTTTCGAGGGGTTCTTGATTTATATGCGTTATATTTGCGTTATAAATAACAAACGCATTTATACATCCCACATTCATAAGTCCAAGAAATATCGTTAGTGGCCATCTTTCACTTACTCTTGATACAGAATATGTACCACACATCTCGTCAACCACGTCCACTCCACATTTATGCATATTAATATAACGGATTATCCGTTATCACTTCTGGCTTGCGGTTATCTCCTGTATCAATATCTATTTTCGCATCATGATGCATTGTAGAAGGAAAAAGCACCACTTTTTCCTTTCTTGGTGAGTACGATACTAATGTACAATTAGGCTTAAATCCAAAGTATGTAGTCCATTCTTCTCGTCCTCGTGTAGCATCAAAGCATGGGGGTATTTCTGGTTTATTTTTACGAAGAGTCCCTACAACCGTAAGCTCATAATCTTCATACAATTCTGTCATCACTGGGAAACTCGTGAACAATTATCCATTACCACGTTACGATGAGACCCTCTTATTTGCTCAACCAAACGTTTCACGACTGGAAGAGAGTTACTTAAAGCATGTGGTCTTGAATTTTGTCTTCCGGTGTATACTTCTAAACATGCCGAATAGTAAGTTCTTGAGTCAGCCATTACAAATATTTTTATTCTGTATTTGGCAGGCTTCTTCGGCATGTACTGGCGAAATGGACAACGACCACGGAATGGCTCCAGTTTTTCATCAATAGTCACTGTATCCCCTAAAGAGTAAAGTTTCTTTATAATTTCAACGAATTTGGTAAATAAATCTCTAATTGCAGCCAGTTTATCATTTTGTCTCCTCTGTTCGCGTGTATTTGGATCATCAAACCCAAGGCAACGAAGTAAAAAATGAAATCTTTGTCGTGACATGGTAGCTATGTACACGTCTGATCCAGTGCCGTCAGTTGCCCAAAAATCCATGGTGTTCAAATGCGCTCCACGAAGTTTTCCACAGTAATAAAGAAGCCCAAGTAGAGCCTTCAATTCTACCAAATCAGGTAAGCAGTCTCTTTCTCTTTGGAAGTTATCGTGCATACTGTCAATATACATATTGGTATATGTCACAACCATGTCTAAACCAGCAGTTCAAAGGCGTAAGTGCATCTTTTGCCTCATTAATCGGTCCCGGCGCATGAAATATAATGTTGTGGCTACGAGTACGAACATTTCTAGGGGGTTCCTCAATACTCCAGTTAGTGGAGCCATTTCTACCCACATAGTATCCTTGACGGATATAACTCAGAGGCACATCACTGAGATCAGGTCTTCTGTGTAACATTTCGGCAAAAATATTACCTGCTGAAAAATCTTCGGCCTCAGAATTATCATCATCGCCGCTTTGACTGGAATTTGAGTCGTCATCGTCGATCTCTAAGTTATCTTCAATTTCTGAAGAGACTTCACCTTCAATACCATCTTCCTCTAGAATTTCTTGAATTCTGTGATCGTCTAAAATATTACGCTACATTTCTGCAAAGAAAAAATAAACTAAAAATATTTTTAAAGAAAAATAATACACTTACACAAACCGTCGCGTAGGGGGTCGAAACGACCCATACACACTTTATACGTTCGTGCTGTCCAAACGCCGCGCATGAACTCAGTGAGGCGGGGCGTGCGGGTAGCCTATACTGTAGCTTAAAGGTAGGTACTGAGCGCGACCCTGAATAATAACCAACATTTAAAAAGTTATGGAACAGGAAACAGGGTACTGGGTCATTTCGGCCCATGCGCCACTACTCGCGGGTTAAATTGATAAATACTTAAATTGTTTTCAATAAATTTTGAACCATATACTTTGAAGATTTGAAGTAAAATGTAATAAATAAACACCGTATATTTCAGGAAATATACATCGACCGTTCTAAGTCGCATAGTTATTGAAAAATCTTTACAAAAAGACAGGCACACTAAAAAGTCTTAAATAATTAAAAAAAAATCAAAAACATGACTGCGAGAAAGACAATTTAAAAGTAATGCACTAAAAAGGTCGAAACAAGATTGAGATTACAAAACAAAATTAAAATAAACTATAAACAAAGTAAACCTGTTATCAGGAAAACACTGTTGACCATCTCCTGGTTTGTTAACGTCCTTCAACTTTTACGACACCCACGGGATGATATGGTGTAGCGGATATTCTTTACACCGCCACTACACGTTCGTAACCGTATTCAGCTTATTGTAAGAATACACACTCACACACATGCATCTGAATTTATTTACAACGAACAACAAACTTGTGTTAAATGTATGAAACAACGGTCACAGGTTAAATATGTAAAAATTAATCAAAATTTCGCCTTCGACAGAATATCAGCACTGCGGTGGCCCTGTTGCTGTAGCAATACGCTGTGTAGGATTAACGTATTTTTTTTTTGTTGCGGCAATCCAAAGTGAAACTTAATTTTTAATTACAACATTTTTTATTAAAGTATTTTTTCGTGAAAGTAATTGTAGCAATTAATAAAAATGTTCTTTTTTTTTTCTTTCTTCCTTTTCAATTATTTAAAATTGTGTCCGGCTAAGTTTTTTTTTTATATAGGATAAAGGTAACCAACGAGCATACAGTCCATTTGATGTTAAATTCTTGCTATGGTCCTTAGACATCTACATCTATTCTCGATTATGAATCAAAATGCAGATGTTACCTCGTGTACCTGAATGCCTCGTTTTCAATAAAAAGTGTCTCCGGTTCTGTATACTCACCACACGAAACACATTAGCGTTAAGCTGCTATTTTACGCACATTCTGTGAGAGCGTGGTCCTTCCCCGGTTAAGCCGACCCATTCCTGCTACAACTATACCAGTAATATAGCTGCAGCATGGCTCTACCATATAAGTATCGAAAATAACTATTTATATTTGTGTCTACCCAATTAGATGAAACCTTGATTTGTTGAAAACGCGACCGCGAGTGTTTCTGCAAAAAAAGGCATTGCAATGCTTGCCGGACACAGTAAACAACAACACAGTATAGTAGAAAAACTAAATAACAGGTGTGAAAATATCTGCGCTAAAACCATCTAATAAATAATGGAAATCAATGTTGTTTAAAAACATTATCACATCGTAAGATCGAACTCGGGGTGAATTTAGTAGAAATGAGTCTGGAATCGATGTCAAATTTAAAGAAAAAAAAAACAGCCGATGCCTGGGGACAGATGTTCCGGCTGATTACTATTGCTTTTAATACGTTATTTCAATTTTTTTTCATTGCGTAGTGGCGGTGTAAGAATGTCCACTACCCCATATCGTCCGCGGGCGTCGTAAGGACAGAGGAAAATAAACCAGGATATGGCTAGTAGCGCATTTCTATTGACAAAAAATAAAAAATAAACTGGTTGTCAATCCGCAACTATCGCAAATATTACCCCTATGAGGCAATACTAAAGGCAATTTGACGGTTCCGTGGCGCAGTGGCTTAGCAATGAGTGGCAACGCTGCGGGCCGCGGGTTCGAATCCCGCACGGAACAAATATTTGTATGGCTTACAAGTCATTGTTCCGGGTGTGGATGTTTATCTCCTTGTGCAATTTATGTTTGTAAACTGCCTCCACGATACAGGAGAAAATCCTAGTGTAGAGGTAACGTTTTTAAAGAGCGAACCCCCTGACCTGAGCTATTGTTGGTCCTAGAACACCGGTCTGGATATTTAACTTCTTGTGTATAAGATATTTTAAACTTTAAGCAACAATCAAAGATTAAGTTAAAGATTAAGATTGACAAACGTAGCATATAAAAATAACTTTCAAATAAGTATTATGTAATAATTCATATATATATTTTTGTATATATATATATATACGTATATATAAAAATACTAATGTAGCATGGGCCGGCCATATAGCTCGAAGAACTGACAACTGATGGGAAAAAAAGGTTTAAGAGTGGCAGCCTCTAAATGGAGTGACGACCTGGTAAGATATGCAGGGAGTCGATGAATGCAGGTAGCTCAGGACCGTGCTTTGTGCCATTCCTTGCTTAGCCTTGGCTATGTTCAGTGCACTTGTCCAGGGCTGTAATGATGATGATTATGAATAATCTATATTGAATAAAAATCATTCATTTCATTTCATTTCAGCACACAATTCACCTGATGGTAAATGGATGCTGTGCCCCATAGATGCGTTAACCCCTGAGGGCTAAGAAACAATATTAATAGAATCAGTGGTTACTTTGCTGAAATCCATTATATTAAATATGTTATAATTAATTAATTAGGATCATTTTATAACGCGAATCTTAGATAATTAATTTTCAACATTATCATTAAGAAAAAACACCTCATTACCAGTTTTCATTAGTGAAGAACCGCAAACCCGTTTTATTGGTAACGAGGCATTCCATCTTAGCCCTGAGAGAGAGACTGTATGATTTTTTATAATATTATTCTATAAAAAAAATTGTTTTCATCCAATAACAACAAAAAATCATAACGTCACCATAAACTACATTATGCGTACAAGAACACTAGTTACGAGAAAATAATTTAAATTAAAAAGATATCGAAGCGTATCTACCAAATTTTGAAATCCAATAAACGCCTGTAAACCTTAAAAATATCGTCACGGGTCTTATTAGCCGCCATTACAGTCCGCGCCTAATTATACAACGCTTGCTTGTACAATATAAATTAATTAAGACATTTCATTCCGAGATCGAATCGAAATGCCGAAGGACTGTTACGTCACGCTTGCACCTTAACACGACGCTTTTATCGTGAATCGGGATAAATAAAATAAATAAAAATAAAAATAAAATAAATATCTCAACTGCGCGAGCATTCCTCGGCCAATTAGTTTATTGGCCTACACATGTCCTTCTCGGAACGTTCTGATAACATCGCTATGGGATCGACGCGTACGAAAACAAACTAATGAACGATGAACGAATGGAATGATTCATTTGATGCTTAACTTTTAGGTTATGGAGTCAAAAGTATGTCATTAATAACGAAAAACGATACACGGCATTAATCTAAATTTCATTTTTATACATACATCATCATTATCATTATTACAAGTTTACTGTTGAATATAGACCTTCCTCAAGGAACAACACAGAGCACCGTTATGAGCTTTTGACGTCCTACATATCTTACCAGGACATCACTCCATCTAGTGGGAGGCCAGCCTAGACTTAATTTTCCAGTACAAGGCTGTGCAACTCGAGAAAGATTCTATCCATGCCGCTTCCGTTTTACTGCTCCATTGAGCTCTGTTGGTGACTCTAGTTCCACTGGGAATATCTTCCGTGGAACTTCGAGCATAGCCCATTCAATAGCTCGCTGAACGACATACAGCCAGGAATGTACGACCACGTCTCAGAACCAAGTCATTTCCGGCAGCACTTCCTAGTGCTTCCGGAAAGATCCAGACTCGGAACAATTATTTGTAGACCATACAAATACTTGTTCCGTGCGGGATTTGAACCCACTGCCCCCAGCGCCGCCACTTATTGCTAAGCCACTGCGCCACAAAGCCGTCAATTACAACAGAGTAATGAATTTGAATTATAAAGTTTAAATAAAACTATTTTTTACAGATTTTATTGCGTACGTTACCTAACTATTTTATATATTCCCAAGTTTCGAGCACTTACAGCACCCATGGTCACGGAGGGGACTGAGGTGTTCAACGTCCAGAATCCAGGTGTCGTAGTTAACCGAGGTTACCCACAGATTAAAATTATAAATGTGTAGATCGGAACAAAAATTAATAATTTTAATCTGTGGGTAACGGCGATTAACTAAAACACCTCAGTTCCCTCGCCTTGCCAAAGTACGTAAGTTGCCAAAATATACGCGATAAAATACGTAAAAATTAGTTTTATTTAAATGTCAATTTAAATCAATTACATTTTATTTAAGTTAGTTTTTATTTAAATATGTAATATTTGCGTATATATAAGAAATCATTAAATTACAAAGGTTATTAAAATATTTCATAAGCTGCATACTTCATTTAATAAGTTTAACGGCTTTTTCGCGCAGTGAAAATGTCCACCATTTACGAAAACAAAATTTAAAATACAATGGATTTACGCAAAGTGCGCGTGATTCTATTCATTATAAAACAATCCTCCCAAAGTTCAATGTACGTTTATCCTAATAAAGAAAAATACAAAATCTAGCGTTAATTTTATCATTTACGTACATACGTCTCCCTCTAATAATATAAAAATACATATAAAATGGCTGGTTAAAGTAAAAACAAGGTACTATCTCATTCGATACCCAATTAATAAAAACATTCCCGTTTTTCTTTTGTAAATGTTTTGTTAAACATCTAAATTTGGTCTTTGAAAAACGCCATCTTGTTAAGGCAAGCCCGGACTTATATTTATTTTGACAGGGGCCGTAAATTCAACCACTTTTTGTGGCCACAAAGATTAATCACCTATTATTTTGGTAATTTTAATAGGCGAAGGTGTTGGAAGCGTTTTTTGGGTCCCTCGGATTTTTGTTTAAACGTTAAGTTGATCGAAAAACCTATTAATTATACAAATAATATTTCTAATTTGACCTCACGTATCAAAATATGTTGCCATCATAAAATAGCCTTTTGTATTTTGGTTATGTTTGGAGGTCGGT